TACATTCTGCATTTGTTTATAAACAATTGAAGCGTCATTAGCAATGGCTGCAAAAAAAAACTAGTCTTGAAATAAAGTTAAGTCTTTTTTTTTGTGCTAAGCAGGCATTTAAGAAAAACTTTATAGAATCATTGTTATTAAATACAAAAAAAAGTTAATTTGCATAAAATTTAAATTATTCATTAAAAATTATATACTCGTATACAAAAAAAAACACACATGTTAGAACATCACAGACACATGCTTTAAAAATGAAAACTATTAGTTGCAAAAAAAAAAATTATAAACAAACGTGTGTTTTCCTTTTACAAAACATACAACTTAGAATAATGATAAATTAATTACAAAAAATAAGAAAAAATAAAAAATATGGTGTTAAAATGTTTATGACAATTTAGCAAATTTTTTTTCGTTGTAGTGGAAAAAAACTACATGTAAGACATGATACACGTGATTTTTTATAAATTTTGCTGCAAAACAAAATAAAAAATTATTAAAAATAAGTAAATAATAGAAATTATGAAAAAATTGTAATCTAACAAAAAACAAACCACAATAGATTATTATTATTTTTTTTTCCAATTATAAACATTTACCTACAAAATATAAAAACAACTTAAACTGAGACATAAAGTCTAGCAAAATTTTCTATAATCTATAGAACACGAGTAGTAATTTATAGCGCCCGTTTACTTAATTTCAAACCACTCATAGTCGATTTGTTATTCTTTATAAATTTTATTGCTGTTTTTTTTCGCCAGTATGTGACTGACTGACTGTACGTTTTAAAGTTGGATTTTTTTCTAGAATTTGCTTTTTTTTTTATTTAACAATTCTAAACCAATAATTTTTACTGTCATTTGTTGCAGCTGACAATAATCAATCAATTCTTGTGTGATAAAATTGATTTTGGTTACATGTTTTAACAAAATGTTTGCTTGTGAAATTTGTTAAAGTTCTTATTATTTATTTTAAATTACTAAAAATTTTTTTTTTGTTTATTATTCTTGGAAACCTTGTTTAACAATTAAGTTTTTGTTTTGTTTGTTTGATGTGTAAATGCAAAAGTTATGCACACATTCTATTAGTTTGAAAACAAACGTGATGGAAATTTTTTGAAAGTAATTGCTTGTGATCTTGTAATCTACTTTTGGTAGCTTGTATTCCCTGTGGAGGGGTTTTAGATTTTTTATTGTTTATACAATTATTGTAATTAATGTTTTAATGGTTTTCAATTCTTCTTAATATTAATCATTCCGACAAAAAAGTCACCTGATTCTTTTACTGTTCGAAGGACCAATTGTTTGTTATTATTTTTTTTTTATAAATTTTTAGATTTTCGCTTTTATTTTGAAACATTTTAACAATATAAATTTATTCTGCGCCTAAATTATTGCTCTCCTTTTAAGAACAAGCACAAATGAAGCCATTTTGTAATAACTTGTCCTTAAGTGAAGCATTCCAGAGGGTTATTCTGCATCAATCGAAACAAACAGTAGTGGGATGGGACAAGTTCAGAACTAAATGGAGTTTAACAGGTATGGTCGAGCGTTCCGTTGCTTTTGGAACCGGTTCCCTGGGATAGTCTGCAAAGCAGCTCCCTCTCTCTATTGCAAGCTACATTTCTCAATTGAATAAACGGTTCGAAGGACCAATTGTTCGATGTGATATCTTTAAAACGTTTTGAAAATTCTTACCGTACAATGATAAGTATTTATGGTCCATAATCTTTCTCTTTTGCAAACTACATTGTACTATTGAATTAACGGTTCGAAGGTCAATTGATATCTTTAAAACGTTTTGTTATCGGAGAATGATAAGTATTTACGATCTATAATCTCTCTCTTGTAAACTACATTGTACTATTGATTTAGTGGTTCGAAGGACCAATTGTTTGATATGATTTATTTAAAACGTTTTGAAAATTGTTATCGGACAGTGATAAGTATCTATGATCCATAATCTTTCTATTGCAAACTATATTGCACTATTGAATTAACAGTTTGAAGGACCCTGTGATAGTCTGCAAAGCAGCTCTCTCTCTCTCTCTCTCATTCTCTTACAAACTACATTTCAAAATAGAATGAACGGTTCGAAGGATCAATTGATATCTTTAAAACGTTTTGCAAATTGTTATCGGACAATGATAAGTATTTATGATCCATAATCTCTCTCTTGCGAACTACATTTCACAATTGAATTTGCGGTTCAAAGGACCAATTGTTCGATACGATTTCTTTCAAACGTTTTGAAAACTTATCAGACTATGATAAGTATGTATTTATGAACCATAATTGAGTTTATTTTAAATAAGCAAACTCCATTTCAAATTGATGTTTCTTATTTAAAAAGATTTATAACTTTTTTTACCATTCAAGGCATAAAGGAGCAAAAATTTCATGTAGGATCATAATTTATCCAAATTTTTTACACTAAACAATTCTTTTTTTTTTTCAAAATCGAAAAAAAATAATTTAATTAAAATACTTACAAAATTTGCATATAATTTTATTTACTTATAGCCAGATTAATGTTTCAATTAATCTAGTATTATAAATTCATTAAAAATTCAGAAAATAAAATTATAAATTTTTTATTATACAATTGTAGTAATCAATTTTAATACTCTAAATAATAATAAAAATCTCTGTGATTGTTGACATACACTTTACATATTTAATAAAGCAATTATATTCTTTATATAAATTGCATATAATTATGGCGCCTGTCAAACGCCTACATACAAACTCACACACATACGACACGACAGACTTGCTTGTGGTACACAGCTTATGTAGTAGTTGTGTATTCAATAAAAATTTCATTGTATAATATTAATTTGTATTTTATTTTATCTTATAGTTATTTTTATAACAACAACAACATGCAAATGTTGTATAAATGACAAAAGCCACAAAAAGAAAACCTGTTCAATAAAAAATATAAATATATTTATTTTTTATATTATTTTGTCACTCGTCTTCTTTTGAGTTAATTCTGACAATTGTATTTATGAGTACATATTAAGTGGTACAGACAATTGTTGAAAAGTCCATACGTTTAAAGTATTTATTGCGTTTATACTAATAGTGGCCAACTGATCCAACCAACCAACAACCACTTGACCCTGAAAATCTGATGCACATACTGCACCTGATTATTAAATACTGCAGCTAAATGAATACGATCATTAAGCCAATGCAATACAACTGCTAAAGTTGTAGATTTTACAAATGCTTGAGTGATTTTCTTTCAGAATTTTTAATAAATTATGCACATCTCACTTGAGTTAAAGTAAAATATGCATTAGTGCGAATCTTGTTCGTATTAAATGATCCATGCCAAAAAGGTGTATATAATTTATATTTACTTGACAACGTCAGCAAAAAAACCTTAACCAAATAAACATAAAACAATTAAAAAATTTACATAATTTACTACACTACACTTACAAGACAACTTTATTTATGCTAATACTATACCATACCAAACTAACAATTAAATTTAATTTAAATATATTTTTTAACAAGTAATTTATTTGTTATCATTAACACTTTTTTACAAATATATATATATATTTTTACATAAATCTAACTAATTTGAAAAATGAAAACATTTAATTGTCTTGCATATAAATTATAGTCTAGACTTATTTTTAACAAAGATAAAATTTTAACATTTGTCATCAGCAGCCAAGTTTGTTTTAAAATTTTCTAACGAAACAATTTTTTCAATATTTTTCTTCTTCATTTTGCCCCCATAAAACTTGTGGGAAGTTGAAGCAGTTGTATTTTGTGAGCATTATAAATATTATGCAAAATTGTTTATGACAAAACCTGCATGTTTTATGACTGATTTAAATGGTGTTTGTCATATAAAGGTAGATTTTTTTATGATGCCACAGACAGACTTAAATTTTTATAGATTTTCGCGCAAAATGGTTAAAAGTCATAAAAACAACTGTAAGTCGTTAAAGAAAGGAGAGAGCGAGAAAAAAAAAACAAAACAAACTAAAACATTAAAATTATATTTATGACAGAGAAAAAAAGTAAAATAAACTAAAATGCCATCAAATCAAAATAAACTTTAAAAGCTGCTTGATTTAAAAAGCTTTAAAAAATTAAATTGCTTACAAAATCAAGAAAATTACATAAAAGATCCCTATGTGTTATAGAAAATATATTTTGAAAGCTGTTTAAACAAATCAAAATAAACTTTTAAGTTTATTACAAAAGCTTTAAGGCAGATTGGTTTCTTAAGTTTGTTTACATAAAGACTTATTTAGATATCTAACTGTAAAATGTTAAAGCTTTTAGTTCAAAGTATAATATTTAATGAGCCTTCCAAGTTAAACTCTCTGAAAAGCTCATTAATTACACAAAATCTGTAAGCTTTATGAATTTTTCAATGATATAATGATTAAAAAGTTCTTATATCTCATAGCTTTATGTTCAAAGTATCATATTTAATGAGCTTTCGAAGTTAAACGCTCTGAATAGCTCATAAAAATTAAGAAATCTTAAAGCTTTGTGAATCTTTCAAAGCTATAATGATTAAAAAGTTCTTATAACTTATAGCGTTATGTTTAAAGTATAATACATATTAAATGAGCTTTTCAAGTTAAACGCTCTGAATAGCTTATAAAAGTTAAGATATCTTAAAGCTTTATGAATCTTTCAAAGCTATAATGATTAAAAAGTTATATGATAGCTTTGTTTGTTGGGAACCTGATAAAAGCTTTTTATATTAAGTAAACATAAAAGTTCTTTTTAAGTTGCTATACTGAAAGCTTTTGAAATATTTATATATTTATAAAATGCAAAAAAACTAGAAGCATTTTATAGGTAAAGAGTAAAATGGTTTAAACTTTATAAGTTACGAGAAAATATGGAAAGCTTTATGTACAAACAAGTTTTAAGAAATTGATTTTCTAAAAAAAATATGCAAACTTTTACTTTTATCTTAAAATTTTAACAAACTTTCATTTCTCTTAATTGTAGGTGCTCCCGTTTTTCAATACCCAACACCACCCAGCCCTTCGTGTTCGATACATAGTCCTTCCTATACAGGAGGAGAAGTATTCTTTCCACGCAGTCGCAGTACCCCCAGAATACCACGCACAAGCGTTAGTTTTGCTCCCGGCGATGAAGTGAATTTCTTTCATCAATCAGCGCCAGCCGCTTCCAGTGGCAATGCACAAACTCAAACTACACAAGCACCTCAGTCAGCTCCACCAGTACCAAACAGTCATCATCACAACCAGCATCAACTCTATGGCCATCATCCACACTTTGCCTATCAGCATAGTGGACCAAATTATTATCAATATACACCGCCTCCCACACCCAATACTGCCACGGCAACCACCTCAACGGGTACGTCAACAAGCGGAGCGGGTGGTATGGCCCATAGAAGTTTACATCGTTCGCTGTCAGATTCAGCCAGAAGGTAGGTCTTTCTTTTCTACTAATTACTAATAGCTTTAACATGTTCAAACTTAATGAGGCCCTAAATAACAGATATGACATGACTAGACATTTATTAACAGCCTTATTTGGTTTCAAAGTCCATTGATCTGTAATTTCATTTAAACTTTTAAACTAGAAGTTTTTTTGTTGTTTAATGTTCAAAATACTAATTCTCCCATGACTTGTCTATAAAAACAGACTTTTAATTACCAGCAACAAAAACATCATCGACTTCATCAACAACTGCAACAACAACAACAATAGGGCCTTGTTATTGTAATATAAAATTAAGATAAGCTTCCTAGTCTTCCCATCATCAACAACAACTACAAAAAAAAAAAGTAGTACTTAATTTAGTATTTATGTATTTGTGCCATATTTCTTAATCATAAATATTATTTTATTAATGTTTTTTTTTCTGTTGTTGGTTTTTTTGTTCATAATTAATAATTGTCATATGTTAAACAATTTAATTACAGATCACGTTTAACCTCAACGGGTGAAGATGAGCGAGAATATCAAAGTGAACATGAGACCAGTTGGGATGAGTTCGAAGATCGTTATGATAATTTTACCGCTGGCCGAGAAAGGCTGCAGGAATTTAATGGTCGTATACCGCCACGTAAAAAGAAAAAGGATGTGCCAAAAACTAAACCAGAAAAGAAGGTAAGTTTACATGTTAACAACTATAATTTTTCCTTATAAGGAATAACAAACTTTCTCTAAACACAAAAACAATATGTGACTTACTATACCCTCTATTATTGTATAGTAAATCTGACAAATACATTAATAGACTTGATGAAAAGGTCATTAACTCATATTTCATGCCCATAAAACAACGTCAGAATCATTATAAATGTTACACATTTACTCAAACACACATGAGACTATAAAAATAATGAACAAATTAAACAGCAGCAAAAAAAAAAATACAAACAAAAAAACTTACAAGGAAATTTTTTCATTATATTTTTCATTTACTTGAAGCAACATCTGTTAAGTTTACAAAAAAACAAAAAAAAAAATTAAACAGCAATTGAACAAAATGTTCAGCACAAACGTGCTGTTCGATTTGAAATTGAAATAAAAAAAGACAGACAGACAGACAGAATTAGGAGAAAACAAATCATTGCCATCAATGTGTAGAGCAATAACACGCTTCAAGCAAGTGACAAATTGCCAGTGCAAACTATGGTTAACAACCTACAACACTAAAACAAACAATCCAACGAAACAACTGCAACAACCAACAACAATCAAGTCAAAGTCATAAAATCCAACCTAACGACACTTAAATACAACTCATCTTACAATGCGTTCAAAAGTCACAAATCGAACAAAAACAAAAAAAAAAAAAAAACAAATTCATTTTAAAATTTATTTGTATGTAGATATATTTTTTTTTATTTATGAAACGATGGATGGTCTTAAATACTTGTAGTTAGTACTTACATACATACATTCGCACATAAAATAAAACTGACTACAACCTAAAACTATAAATAAAAATGCAAATTTGCGATAAAAATTAATTGCGCAGTGCTAGAAGTATAATAAAATTAAAAATTGCCATACATACGGTTCTATACTTGTATTATATAGAAACAAAAAAAACTAGTAAAATACTCCTTTCTTAGTTTTGCCCTGTTTTGCTCTACATTTTAAACAAACGGTTTATTTAGTTCTTTAACAAATTTGTAACCGTATAGAATAAGTATTTGCTATTGAATCTATTACAAATTTTTATACCCACCATCAAAAAAGATGGGGGGTATATTGTTATTATATGCATTTGCCATTATTTAGACTAACAATTAATCTATGTTTAAACTACTAAACTATAATATTTAAAAAGCTTTCATTAACAGAGCTTTTTTCAATGAAAGCTCTTTGATAGCGAAAATGCTTTATATTTAGTCTAAGTTTTAAAGTTTGTTTTTAAACTTAAATTAATACATGGTAAAAGCTTTTTGATAAAAAGCTATTTAAAGCTTTTTGATAAAAAGCTATTTAAAACTTTTTGATAAAGCTTTTTGATAAAAAACTATTTAAAGCTTTTTGATAAAAAGCTATTTAAAGCTTTTTGATAAAAAGCTATTTAAAGCTTTTTGATAAAAAGCTATTTAAAGCTTTTTGATAAAAAACTATTTAAAGCTTTTTGATAAAAAGATATTTGAAGCTTTTTGATAAAAAGCTATTTAAAGCTTTCTGATAAAATGCTATTTAAAGCTTTTTGATAAAAAGCTATTTAAAGCTTTTTGATAAAAAGCTATTTAAGGCTTTTTGATAAAAAGTTATTTGAAGCTTTTTGATAAAAAGCTATTTATAGCTATTTGATAAAAAGCTATTTAAAGCTTTTTGATAAAAAGCTATTTACAGCTTTTTGATAAAATTTGTTTTAAAACATTTTAATATTTAAAGCTTTTTGATAGAATTTGTTTTAAAACATTTTGATAAAATGTTTTTTAAGCTTTTTGATAAAAAGCTATTTAAATTTTAAGCTTAAAAGATTTCGTAAGCTATTTTTTTTGAAAGTTGTATAAATTAAACTTATTCCTTTTTTCTTTCAAAACTTTTTTTAATTGAATTGAAATTATCTTTACAGTTTTGAGTTTAAATAAGAGTAAAGTTTTTAGAAGTCGTTGTTTACTTTAACTCGTCTAGTTTATGGTTACAGTCGAAAGATTATAAAGTTGTAGTGTAAAGTAGTCTGCTTAGTTTAACTATAAAAACCGCGCCCTGTCATGTACTTTATATACAACATACGCTTCGTTAAATTTTTTCCTTAGCAAATATAATTTTGAAAATTTTTTTTTTTTATATATTTTTTTACTATTTTTTTTAAATTTTTTTACAAGCCTTATTTTTTTAGTTGTTCTACGTTAACTTTTACACATGTGTCACTCTTACAGCTCTATAGTAAAAAGTAAATTTGTTTTTTTTTTTTATTTTTTTTTAGCTTTATACTTCAATATTTTATTATATGAGTTTAATTTTGCTGTTGTTGTTATTTTATTTATTTTGTATCTTTAACTCGTGCTGTGGAACGAGTTGAGCTTTTGGAGAACAAAGGATTAACTATTCTAGAAACATAAAGCAGAAGAAACCAAGACACTGTTGTTTTAAAGGTTGTTACAATAGTTGTTGCAATAGTTGAGAGTGTGTTTTTTTTTTTGTTTAGGTTTTATTCACATTAAACAATTAATTTACAACGCAATTTTGTATGAAAATTATTTTTATTATTTTTTTCTTTTTTTTTTTGTAAATGGCGCGATTAAATTAATTAAAAATGGAATTGTAATTAAATTAATTTTAAAACTTTAAACGAGACAACGACAAAATGTAAACTGCTTAAAATGACAAGTTAATTGTTTTTAAGCTGGAGTATAAAAAGGGGAATAATGGATATTATTAAATGAGACAAGATTTGTCCTTTAAGTGCTATTTTTAAATTTGTTTTAAAATAATAATTGAAAGCAAATACATACATATATACATATTATGGGTACTTTTTATACTCTTTCTTAACACTTAAAAAGTCACCTTTTGGTGCCAAATTTCTAACATTATTGAACTCATTATTTTAGTTATTAAAGTCTCTTTGATTATTTTTAATAAACAATAATAACTATAATTATAGTAAAACAAATAAATAACATTGAAATATAATCTCTAAATAGACTAAAGTATGAAATGTATATAAATATCTGAGCGATATTATACCCCAGAGTATAGTAAACACGCACCAAGCGTTAACATTATTTTTAACATCTCTGGCAACATTTAATCACTACTACAACCCCGTCATAGAAACCACAGATAAATTGTTGTAATTTTGTAGCCCTTGTGGCAGGCAAGGTGGTGACCCAGTTTAGTGGTAATACTATAACAATTAAAGTTTCTGTTGAGATAAAACAAAAACAAGAACAAACATCCTGCTCTTAAAATACATGAACAATGAGTTCATAACATTGACCACAAATAATGACCTCAAATTGGGGGATGTTTGTAGTGTTTTGAGGACAATGTTATAAATTATTTTTATGTGGTGGACTATACAAAAAGTTTTTATTAAGATAGGGGCTTTTCCCTTATTGTTTTTTTGGTTAATGTGCTAAAAATCTATAACAATAGTTAAATAATTATATTTAATAAACTAGATTTAGTTTTTACGCTTGATATTACAAAAAACACTTGTATTTTTTTTTGCTATAAATTATGATATGTGACATGTAGTTTTAGTTTTATGTAGATGAAAATAATAATAAAAATTTTGTTTTAGTTACACTTGACTTCATATTTAAATATTAATGTTTGGCAAATGTATAGAAATTGTTACAATTATTATAGTTTCTTTAGATTATATATTAGAATTTATGTAGATATTTGTTATATTTGTAGATATTTGTTTTTGGAATATTTTTGCATAATTTTTATGTGTTTTGAATGATTTATGTAACACATGTGTTATTTTTTTTTTTTTTTTTGGAAGCTGGCAAGAAAAGTTAGTAAAAGTAGCAAATTAATATTGTCACTTGTTAAAATTGTTTAGGAAGCTTCGTCCCTGGGACAATAGAAGATCATGATCTTCAAAATTGCGAAGTTTGATTAAAAGGTTTACATGGACAGACAGACAGACAGACAGACGGACGGACATAGCTAAATCGACTCAGTTTTGTAGGGCAATTTCGTATCAAGTGACCCAACTTTCGATGTCTTTCTATTGGATAGGCAGAAATTTTCAGTGCTATCGATCTAGGACTGCCGGACTTAGAGAGGGTCAAAGTTAGTCATTTTGGTCATACAGGGTTTTGTTGTGGTTTGGATAGACAGACATTTTCAGTGCTATCTATCCAGAACTGAGAACGTCAAAGTTGGTCATTTTGGTCATACAGGGGTTTGTTCAAATGAGTGTAAATTTTCACCTATTGGTATATTGACATATATTTTATATATTTTAAAGCATCCTTTTTTTAAACCATTTTATACTTTCCTTTCTTTCTAGGAACAAAGCTTTACCTGGCCTGCAGTTGTTACGGTCTTCGTTTTTGCCATGGGTTGTGGATTTCTAGTAGCCCGATGAGCCGGCTCAATAAATTGAAAAAAATAAATATGGAATTATTAATTTTTTTTAAACAGAACAAAAACTTCTTCACAAACGCAACAAAACGAAACAACGAATTTATTTTCAAAAAATAACTAGTTCATTGTTTGAGTCAAACAAAGCCGCACAAAAAAGGATCACAAAGGAAACAAAAAACAAACACACGGTGGGCGCATTTACAACCAACTCAGAGGTAAAAGGAAACACAAAAAAGGATTTTTACAACAAAAAATATCGAAAAAAGAAGGGGGTAAGCAACAATAAAAACAACAACAAGAAGAAGTTTTTCTACAGTCAAATTAGTTATTTACTTAAAACATAAACAAAAAAAAAAGAAAAACTTCTTTAAGAAAATTCAAATAAAAAAATAACACAAAACAATTTAGACTGGCAGCAAACCACAAAAATATTATAAATATAAACAAAATAATTTTTTATTAAAAAAATATTTTATATATTCTTTATATACATGCAATATGTACATTGTACATGTATATAATATCTACAAAATACAAATTAATAAAGGTACTGATTTTTTTTGGTCTAAAACTTAACTTTTAACAAAAATAAAAAAAAAAATGAAAAACTATTTTAAGAATAAACATATTTTTGGTATAAATATACAAATTTTTTGATAAATTTATAAAAATTAAAAAAAAAAAACAAACAAGAGCTTAAATATTTTTGTTATAATTTGCTTAAAATTAAAAAAAAAAAAGAAATATCACTTAAACAAAAACTGCCTTTTTATACAGTATTTTTCCAACTTTCAAATACATATTATAAAAACGTAACATTCATTAATTTCACCACAAGTATTTAAATAGCAATAACGACAAAAACTTTATGAACTTTAACTATAACACTTTTTTATATTTTTTTTTTTTAAATTTTAAGTTAAAAGGAAATTTTATGATTTTAAAAAGGGATAAAATTCGTAGTCTTTGGAAGCCTAGTTTTATGACTAGCTGGTTTGATCCTAGTCGTCTTCCATTTTCAAAGAAGTTCGAATATTATTTTTGTTAAATATTTACAAATTATTGAAAGTACAGTTTTCATTTAATTTTTATGATTTTAAATTATTTAAAAAAAATATAATTTTCTTTACTATTTTTATTGAATTCATATCTTGTTTCAAATTTTATTGAACTTTATAAAATTATCTTAATCTTGTAAATTTTTTTAAATATTTTAAATTGTAAAAAATATTTGTTCATTCATTTCAAATAATTGCCTTTACTTTTCATATAAAAAAACATGATTCTATTTCGAAAATGTTTGAAATTCGAACTTTCCTTATCATTTTTGATAATTTTTTCCCTCACCATTAATTGAAATCTTTTTGTTTCCACACAGAGGGAAAAAGAAATATACACGCCTGGTACCAAATTGACACCAAACTGTTTATAATTTTTCAATACCATCCGTTGTCAAAGTATATACATACGTACGATAACACTATGTAATGTTGACAACATTGCAACAATTCGTTGTCGAAATCTGAATTTTATACACATCCGTTTCCCAAATATTAACAAACGTGGTAAGCTCACTATTGACAAACAATCCGTTGCTAATAGTAAGCTTACTACGTTTGTTAACATTTAGACAACGGATGTGTATAACATTTAGATTTCGACAACGAATTGTTGTAACATTACATAGTGTTGTCGTACGTATTGGTATATACTTTGACAACTGATGTTATTGAAACATTATAAACTCTTTGGTGTCAATTTGGTACCAGGCGTGTATATTTCCTTTTCCCTCTGTGAATTGGTAGCAAAATAATACAAAAATTGAATTTAAATTTTCCTTAGAATTTTAATAAATTGAAATACTAAATATTCATATACAACTTCCTGACTATTTATAGAGTTCAAAAAGTAAATCTAATAAAATATGAGGTCATAGGTCACCTCAATGAATTTTTTATACCTTACATCACTATAGTGGGAAGGTTTGTGCTGCTGATTGTAATAAATAAAAATATTAGTCCTACACCCACCCTAAGGTATACCGATCGACTCATAATAACTTTTTGACGCGATTAAGACATGTCCGTCCGCCTGTCCGGCTGTCTGTCCATGTAAACCTTTTGCACAAGCTACAATTTTCAATATATTTTGATAAAATTTGGCCCATACGTGTTTTTCGGCACAAGGACGTTGCCTATTGAAAATGGTTGAAATCGTTCCATTATTTCACCTTACACCCATACAACCTGACCTTCCGATATGGGGTTTTTAACTCATAACTACGACAAATTTACTACTATCTCTCTCTATGGTCCTATCCTTATAAATTCTGGTAGAGAAATTTGTATCTATATTATTATTTATGCAGAATATCATTGTGTTATTAGTGTTTATAAGTGAATTTTGACCATCCAGTCATTTACTGAAGGGGACTTTGTATGGGGCATAGGGTCAAATGAGGGCCGATCATTACGATAATCAGCAGTATCATTAAGAATTATTTAATACTAACTTTTGCCGATTTTTGTAGTGATACAAGAACATTTAACATATTTATGAGCTGAAAAGCCCTATTAGGGGGGTACGGTTGTATGGGGGCTATACGAAATAATGGACCGATTTTAACAATTTTCAATGGGCTTCGGCCTTGGGTCAAAAGAAGAGTGTGTATCAAATTTCATCCAATTATCTTTAAACAAGGTTTACGCACAAGGTTTACATGGACACACAGACGGACGGACGGACATAGCTAAATCGACTCAGAAAGTGATTCTGAGCCGATTGGCATAATTTAAGGTGTAGGACCAATATTTTTGGGTGTTACAAACGCCAGCACAAACGCATAATGCTCTCCCCACTATAGTGGTGTAGGGTATAAAAACACATACCTCCTCCCAATTTTGTTGAGGATCGGCTCATATCCTAACTCCCATATAAAGCCTCTTTTAGAAATTTTGTTTTTCATCAATAATTTTCTTAAATACATTTCTTTATGAAAATTAAATAATTTTTAAAATATACTCAAGGTATAGATTATCATATAGTCGACCATGCCCGCCTATACTAAACATGTTTTTTCTTAAATTTTTGTTGTTTGTTTATAAAAATTTAAATACTCATTTCCACTTAAGATTTCAAAAATTAAACTTTAACCTTTCTATACATAAAAATAGTAAAACTATGAGGTTTTTAATAACTTTTAAATATAAATTTCAATTTAGAGATTTCATTTGCTACATTTCACTTTATTGCCTTAAAATTTTATACAAGGTGAAGGTTTTTTTTTTGTAATAATTTTCCAACAATTTGTATATAACTGCCTAATTTTTTGTTTTAATTTTTTTACTTTGGTTTAAGGTGCTGAAATTTTTTTAATTCTTATACTATATATTTTTTTTGTTATATTATTAAAACCAATTTTTTTTAGCTTAATACTTAATATTTTTAATACTTATTAAAACTTTATGGAGAAATTTTTATAAAGTTTTAAAAAATCCCATGTCTTCTTATGTAATTTTAATTACATTTTTTTTTTAAATTTTAATATAATTAAACATATTTTCTTAGTAGTTTTAATTTTATTAAATAATTTTTTTATGATTTTTTTTTTTTAAAGCCAGTTTTGTGATTTTGTTTTTAATTTTTTTTTTAATAATTTTTTATGATTTTATTTTATGTTAATTAATTTTTATAGTTACAATTGTTTATTTTTTATTTGTTGAAGCAGAGAAAAAAATAAAATTTAAAATAATAAATTTAAATAAAAAATAGTTAAGTTTGAAACATAAATAAAGTTTTCAAATTGGTCTCATTTTTTTGTGTTTTTTTTTTTTAAGTTTAAGCAAATGTTTTAAGCCGTAAAATAATAGATCTCATTTAAAACAGCTCAAAGTCATTTGTTTAATAAAATATAGAAAATTTTATAAATAATTTTAAAAAGATCTCCTTAACCAAAGTTTTGTTTTAATTTTTGCTACAGTTTTAGTTTTTTTTTTTTTTTAAATAAAATTTTTTGTTAAATTCTATTAAAACATTTGCTTAAATTGGAAAAAAAATTAAGAAAAAAATAAAATAATAATTTTAAATAAAAAAAAAATATATAAAATAAACAATTCCCAAATACAAAATGATCTCATGAACAAATTTGTTTGTTTTTTTTTATTAAAAAGAAAAAAATAAATATTTTTAGTTTTAAAACCATATAAAAAAAAATAAATGAAATATTCTTAAAATAATATTAATAAAAAAAAACGCCAAGCGTTAGTAGTTTTAAATTTCAAAAAATAAGCTCTTAATTATAATATAATAAAATATATAAAATAAATGTTAATTATAGTTTTATGCACAATTTCTTGTCATTAGACAGTTTTGTTTAGTTGTAATTTTGTAGATTTTTTTCTTATTTCATAAAAAAAGTATCTCAACTAAGTTTAGTTTTTTTTAAATATTTTTATTTTCTTTTTAACTATTAAGCTTTAAACAAAGTTTTTTGAAATTGTAAATAGTTCAAATATTTAGTTGTTAAGAGTTTAAATATATACAAAAGAAAAATAAACAAATTTTTTAAACTTTACTTTTCTTATAAAAAAAAAACAAAAAGAAAATATTATTAAAAAGTTATTAAACTAAACAAACTAACTGCTGGTTAGAAGGACCATGCATACAATAACAACTCTCTGTTTAGCCTAGTTTTAGGCTGTTTAGTTTAAATTCGTTTTATTAATATTTTAATAATATTTTCTCATCTTCAATATTTTTTTTAGTAAATTTACTAAAACTCTTATTTCCACTTACAAATAGTACAATTTCTTTATTCTACTTTAAATTTACCATTTCATTTTTTTTTTAAATAATATTTTTCTTTTCTATTAAAAAAAACATTTCCATTATTTTTAACATAAACATAAAATTGTAAATTTCGAAAATTATGAACTTTATATTTAACAAACAAACAATTTAAAACTTTTTAAGAGAAAAGTTTGTTAATTTAAAAACATAAAATAAAGTTCATATTTTCTGCTTGGTAGTTTTCACAATGATCTCGGTATGAATTTTGTTCGCTTAAAAACGAAATTTTATTTATAAAAAATATTTATAAATAAAATGTTTTTTAAGCTTTTAATTACAAACAAAAAAAATTACAGTTGCATAGTAGTATTAAAAATATATAAAAAAAATAAATCAAAATTTTTTTTCACAAACATAGCAAAGTCATTTACAATATGTTTTTCATTTTTTTATATTTTTTTTTTTACATAATATTATTTTAAATAATTATCTTAAGTTGTATATAGCTTAAATTAAAAAAAAAATACACATATTTTTCCATTATTTGCTGCCAATTTAAATTTGATAAATATTTTTCTATTTGCTTAAAATAATTTAGTTTAATTTATAATTTTTTTTTTTAATAAATAATTGTTTATATATAAATAGCAAATTTATGCATATTAGTTTTAAAATAAAAATTTGTTTTTTTCTTTCACTTATTTTTTTAAATAATTTGTATTATGCTAATTTTAAAAATTATATTAAACAAAAAAAAAAAAAAAAAAAGAAAAAAAACATTTAAACTAAAATT